CAGCCAGACTGTGTGTTTCTTTTCAATCTCTAAGCGGAGCTCTCCAACGTGGAAGACGTTCCCCCCAATAGTATATTGTCATTTTCCCAATGCACTTGAGGTCTGATAAACTCCACAGGACTTGTGGTATTTCTAAGGCCAGGAGAGCTCCCAAGAGGAAGGCAAAAGAATGGACGGTCATTTGAATCACTGAGTGACAGGCTGGGCCGGCTCCGTGTATACATTAATAAATTAGAATTTTAATTGCGCCTCTGTCTGCAGGAGATGGCCCGGTGCTTGAATATGTACCAACAATTGGCTATGTTATGGAATCCGCAGCTGCCCTCCGCCGCTGACCTCTGAAACACAATTCCCAGTCTGACGACGGAAACTGTTCAGTTTGATCCTTTCAACTTATTTGAATCCTGACAAATAAGCTCACAGCCGAAAGGTCAACACAGTCCTATTTCATCCTCTGGAGCTCTTCTTAAGACATGTGCACAACAAAGCACGTCCCCCAGCACCTGACACGGGACCGTGGCACCGCACCTCATTAAAACGTCCCCTGCACTCCCACGTGCGGGCAGGCTGTGGGCTGCCAGCGGTTTACTACACAAGGCCTTCAGGAGGCTTCCGCCAACAGAGAAGCTGCGGCCCGACTCCTCCAGGAAGGTGGCCCCACGCCCTGCACCTTCCTGGAGAGCACAGTTGTCCCAGCGGAAAGAGGACTAGAGGACTAGAACCTGCAGCCCCAGGTCGACTGTTTGGAAATGGACCTCAGCTCATCCTGACCCACTAAAATTCAACCCAAGCAAGAATTTAGGCGATCTCATGATCCAATGAACCGGCACCAAGGTCAGCCCACCTGTTACCTCTTGTGCGTTCTGTTCCGCCATCTCCAGGGAGAGAAACCTCCCATTTGGGGGTCCTTACCCTCAGCTCTGAAAGCACTGTCCAACACCTGGTTCCTGCCAGGGCCCTATCCCAAGCGCGGACACAAGCATCCCAAGTTAGGTTTCTTTGAAATTTTTGTTATAATTCTTGCCTCCAACTCAAAAATCTAGATCAGATTTTTATGAGCTCTCTGCTTCCACTCCATTAACCCCTTGGCCTCAATACGCTGAACTGAGAAGTTGCTAAAGTAATTTTTTGTGTGTGTGCTACTAGGGATAAACCCAGGGGTGCTCTACCACTGAGCTGCACACCCACCCCTAGCCCTTTTTATATTTTTTGAGACAGGCTCTCACCAAGTTGCCCAAGATAACCTCAAGCTTACGATCCTCCTGCCGCAGACTCCCAAAGCAGGCGTACACCACTGGTGCCTGGTTAAAACAATCATTCTTGTCACCTTTGCATAAAATTGCTTTCCACCTTAAACAGATGATTCAGAAGCCCTCTAAAGACATCCAGAGAGGAGGCTGTGTCCATGCCATTACCAGGCACCATGCCCCGTGAGGGTGCTGGACACTGCTGACATTTTGGGCCAATAAATAATCTTGCGCTCTCTGGGGGTGGGCACCCTGGGCAATGCAGACCATTAAGCAGGAGCCCTGGCCTGTACCGACAAGAGGGGCCTCCAGGAAAAGCCACCTTTTTATACAATGGGACACAAAGCCAACGAGTGGAGAAGGAGGTGGAAGTTTGTGGAAGAACACCTGCAAGACTGCCCCGTCCTGGGTGTGGATTCCCGGGAAGGAAACTCAGCACATCACACAGCTGCACAGCACCTCCGCTGCAGCGCCAGCCAGACGCCCATCCACACCTGAGTGGGCAAAGGCGGGGTGTGTGCGTGTATGGTGTGTTCACACCTGTGCACATGTGCGTGAAAGCACGGAATCCCGTCACAGCAGCTGAACGGATGGAACCAGGCACAGAGATAAATGTTGTTTTTCATTTGTGGAAAGAACAACAAAACAAGTTGAGCCTGGGGAGGGCTGGGGGGTCATAAAAGAAGGGCGCTTGGATTGGGTCAGGACGTGCTCCCTTCTTACATGAACACACTGAACCCATCAATATGGGCAATCCAGACATGTTAGTAAAACCACTGCTAGATGACCCCCACTGGCCACAGGGGGTCAAAACCATGTCCCTATGAGTACTACTGTGCTGGACATAAGGGGAACCACCCCATTCCCAGTCTAGATGACCACGGCAGGTCTGTGCACCATCAGCTGGTCTGCCACCCGCGCTCTGTCCTTAGCAGCCCGACACCTGCAAATGCCCACGCTCCCGGCGCATAGCCAGGGTAGCTCTCCTTGCTACCAAGAACGACCCTTTTGCTCAACTTGACACTTTCCATGAGAGGTCACGCTCTGCTGGCGCACTGAGAGCTCACCGTCCGCAGATGCTCTTGTTTCACAATCAGCAATTCTCAACACGGTTCCCTTCTGAATTGCCCAGGAGCTGCCCAGAGGGTGTGGCTGCCAAGAGGGAGTGGCTGCCCAGAGGGTGCCATGCCCATGAGGTAAAGCAGGGGACTTACTTGAAGGGCCGGCTGCTTGTCATTCCTCTTGGGAGACTTTAGTCCACTAACTTGCTGCTGCTGCTGTTGCTGCTGCTGCAGGAGCTGTCTGGCCACTTGTAGAGCCTGCGAGGAGGGGACAAGAACACACCGGTCAGGACACAGGACCGGGACTGCCGCACAGAAGGGTTCTGGAAGCCTACTCCAGGGCTGGCCCTGCCTTTCCCGTTTCCAGGCACAGGAAATGGCAGGCGACACCCCTCCCGCCTGTGTTGAGAAGTTTCCAGAGTCTGTTTCCAGGTCCTTGCACTGGGCCAGTGTCACCCACAGCCCCCAAGCCCACCACAGTGACCCAGTAAGCGGACGCTTTATCCCACCCCAAACTTGCCACAAGGCTTGAAGTACGAGTGGCCAGCTCCTGAGGAACCAAGCAGGGACGGCCAGCAGGGAGCTGGGCAAAGACGGAAAGTTAGGAGAGCTACTGGGGGCACGTGGGCGGCACCACCGTCTTCCCAGATTCTCTGGTGGAACTTGGGGACACTTGGGAACACAGGCTGAAAGTGTCACGTTCACTCCATGAGGCCAGAAGGAAGACGGGAGTGGGATGACAGGAAAAGCATGTCCCGTGGATGCGGTGATGGGGACTGGCCAGGCATTCCTAGGACCATCTCACTGGATGTCAGGAGAGAAAACCTGCGAATTCACCTCCAGCCACCTCAACCCAACGTCTGCGTCACCCTCTCCAGTACAACAGGGGACAGTTTCAATTTAGAGGCAGAGTCAGGGAGGTGGCCTGGGAGAGCTCTGTGAGGGGAGCCACTTAGGGCAAGCCGAGGTTTTTTATAAAAGCTCAAGCGAGATAAGTGTCATTATGGAACCATCACAAAGATATTTGCTGTCAAAGACGTAAGAACAGCTGGCAGCGGGATCGGCGCACAAAACCGAGGTGAGCAGGCGCTGTGCTGCAGATGCCCACCCAAAGGCGGCTTCTCCAGTGGAGCCAGCTGGGAACCCAGAATGGAGTCCTGGAGGGGACGTCCCAACTGAGGAGTGCGGAGAGGAAACAGGGTGCCCGGAGGGTCCCGTCAGAGCCACTTCTCCCCGCCATGACTGGTTCCCCTGAAGAGGCACTTCTAGAGCCGGCCTCGGCCTGAACAAGGTGTGGCCCGGGCTCCCCAGTGGACACAGAGCCCTTCCAAGGGAAGCAGGCTCCTCACTTCACGGTGGTGAGAACACGCGTCCAGGTCTAGGAAGTTGAGTGGCCAAGACCAAGTCTCGGAGGGTTAGGTGGCGGGGACTCCTGCACACTGGGCACAGGAAACAGGGGGGTCCAGGGCAACGTCCTCAGGAGCAGGTGCTAAGGAAGGCTGAACCTTCACGAGTTCTTTCAAGAAGACGTGTTCACGACGGGCACAGTGGCGCACACCCATAATCCCAGCAGCTTGGGAGGCTGAGGCAGAAGGATTACAAGTTTAAGGCCAGCCTCAGCAACTCAGTGAGACCCTGTCTCAAAATAAAAAATCAAGGGGGCTGGGGATGTGGCTCAGTGGTTAAGGCATCTAGGTTCAATTTCTGGTACCCCTCCCCCCCAAAAAAAGACACTGACCCAGGCTCCTCGTGGCACAACTGTGTTGAGCCTCTTAAAGGCACTGTGTAAGGCTGAGGGCAGCCTCTGTATCTCAGAGGCGCAAAGGGAGGTGTAGAAACAGCCCAGAAAAGCATGACAAGAGCCTGGGACGGTGGGGGAGAAGTGCCTGCGGGGCCCAAGCTGCCCGCACACTGCACTCCCCCCTGCAGCCCACCAGCTGCAGGCCCAGGCACAGTTGAGCAGGCCTGCCTGTGAGGGCCACATGTACTCCAAGATGCCTGGGAGCCCTGCCTGGGCCCCAGCCCGCCGTCTGGGAGGAAGCTCCACCACGGCTGGACCCTGGGTTCCCCGTCTCCTTGGAGACGCTCAGTACACGCGTAGGTGTAAAGTGGGCAGCGTGAAGATTTCATTTATATCCCCTGTGCAAGGTGCCTGCGGGAGCAGAGCCTCTCCTACATGCGTGTTCCCTGGACGCCTTCACGCGGGGCTTTGGGGCTTCTTAGGCAGGAAGGGAACTGCTCGGTGTCTTAAGTGCTACCATCAGAGACTCAGCGGCAGAAAAGGCTCCAGATGCAGCTGGGAAGGCAGATGGTGGGTGTGGAGCTGGCGGGAGAGGTGGACAGAGGAACGTTGGGGGGAAGATGGGCCATGCGGGACCACCAGCAGGGGAGCAGTACAGGACACCCTGCCCCCCTGGCGGACACCACCTGCCCCCTCTCACCCGATCCTGGAGAACAGGTGCTCGGCTTTTAAGTAACAAGCCTCACGGTAGCCATACCCAGCCATCAGCACTCGGCAAGACTCCGGGTGTCTTTAAGGAAATCTCCACACACGCTGTGCTCGTGTAAGCACGTGCTCAGAAGGAAATGTTGGGGACAGACGGTGGCACACCTGAATCTGAGGTCATCTGAACCAGTGTTTACCAAGCTGGCCACATGGTGACTGTGCATGTCACATGGGGTGCTGGAATCCTCAGGCTTATTTACTGGTTGGAGGGAAAATCAGAATCACTTATGGATGCCAGGTGTCTTCCAATCCCATCCCAGGGTCCAGGAACTTACAGCCACCTATCACAAGCCCCAGCTCCAACAGGTGGTTTCACACACAGCCCAGCTGAGGAGCAGAGCCAAGCCCAGGCGCAGGGAGGGAAAGTGTTGAGGAACTGGAGTGGACACCAGGGAGGGTTCAGCCAAACCGCTGGAGAGTGAGCGGCACCAGATGGAGATTGCAAACCGGCTGCCAGGGCTCCACGCATCCAACACGCATCCAACATGCAGCCAGACAAAGACCTTCAAAATGTGGCCCCAGGAGTCACTGCTAGCACAGGAATGCATCAGAATCCTCACAGGTCACCCGCAGAGATTCCCGGACCCCGAGAGGGGCTCGTTACCAAAGTCGGAGCAAAGTAAAATAGTAATGAACCCCCCAAATAAAAACCAACATAGACATCACCCAGGTCCCAACAAGAGGTTTTAAAATCCTATCGACTAGAACATACAACCTGCTATGAAGTCACCGCTAAAGGGTGAGCACTAGTTTTCTGCACAAGGTAAACTAGGATGATCTAGATTTAAATGGAAAGGGAAACTCGGAGTTTCGGACTCAGGGGTTATGTGGAGATCTCTGGCTCCATCACAAGCAGGAGACCACGAGGCTCGCATCCACTTCACTGCAGATGGGGTCCCCGGGACGGCGCTCTTGGCTTGGTGCCCTTCCCTGACACCACCCCTTGACAGCCATGTCCATCCACACACGTGTCCAAGCAGACCCACGTCCTTCCACCTCGGACTCCACTGCCCCGCCCCAGAGAGCACTGGATCCCAGAAGAACCGGGCCGTGGCCTGGGACTGCTCTTCCCCATGGTGCCTCCATCACGGCCAGAAAGAGGAGTCCTAGGGTGCAGTGTTGAAGAGGAAACAGGACACTCGGTACAGGATGATAAGCCTGCGGATCTGGTTTTGTCCAGGTGAGAAGAGAGGGAGAGAGGGGAGGAAGAGAAAGGAGGAGAAGGAGGCAGGAAGGAGGGAAGGGGAGCAGCAGAGGGGGGCACGCAGGAGGACGTGAATGTAGGAAGAGACCCTCTTCCCAGCAGAAAGCGTCACCTCTGACTCGAGCTGCACACCCACAGCTGAGACAGGCCCAGGCCAGCCTGGTGCCTCTTCCTGGTGAGATGAACCAATGCTCCGTGCAAGATGGACCTGACAAGCACCTGGTCCAAGGTAAGCTGCTCAGCCCTGGAGCCCTGGCCACCAGTTACAGTGGAGCTGGCCGAGCAAGTTCACATCCCTGCTCCTCCCACCAGCTAGACTAATCTGTGAGCTAGCAGACCCAGGCACTCAGGGGTGGCAGGCAATGCCGCACTGCACCCCGGCTGGCCCTGTCCCCACCCATGCCTGATCAGATCATCCCCAGGGGTCAGCAGGCTTCGCCACGGCTGCCTCTGGGAATTCAGGGAGCCCGTGAGGTCTGGCAGCTCGTGCCCACCTCCTGGGACCCTGGGCACTCGGGGGACACATTCCATTCGTCCGGCTCCATCAGGACGGCTTCCCTCTCTGCCACGTCGCTCCACCCAAGGTAGATAAGGGCCACCTGTGCTGCACACACCGTTCGGGTAGCACCTTTACCACTTTTGAGCTATTCATGTCAAGCTCACGGCGGGTGCTTATATTTCAGGCCCAGGTAGCTCTACATTTAGCACGTTTACCAAGGTGGCTGAGGCTCAGAAACGTATTTCCCACCCCTGAAGAAACACTGGCAAGTTGACATAACACACGGGGCACGCCCACACTCCCAGGCGCACACAGCCAGCCCGAGGAGGGAGACACCTTCGTCAAGGATTTTGCTGGAAGAGACCCTCTTCCTAGCGGGAAGCATCACCTCTGGTGACAGGTCTGAGATGTGCCTTGACACATCTTTGGAATGTCTTTGGAAAACCACTAAGTGGGACGTTGTCTATCACGGGTCAGCCAACGACAGCCCATAAACCCCACGGGGGCCCCGGTCTGCGTGGTGCAGCTGGGAGGAAACACTGTGTTCACTTATTTAAATGCTTGGGAAGGGGTCAGAAGATGATTTGGTGACATGTGAAAATCACTTGGAATTTAAATTTCAGTAGCCACAAATAAAGTTTTCTTAGAATGCAGGCGAGGTCACTTAGGTCTGGCCTGCAGAGTGCTCTCTACAAAGACGGCAGGGCCCTCACGCCTGAGGTACTCCCC